TGTCATAACCATATTTCTCTATGTAATTGCCAGATCACGACATGCTGGACACCCTTGAGAAGTACTGGCCATCTTTAAGTTGTAGCTCACCATCATCTTGCCATGGTGGAAAAGGATCCTTTTGGGCTCATGAGGTGGTTATCATGTTATTGATTCAGTCTGTTATATTAAACTATCAGTTGTCAGGATCCAGATCTGATGGTGTTTTTTTCTTGTGATTTTATGATGCCGAACTGGGATATATTCATTGGCAGTGGGGTAAAAGTCTTCAACACAACATTCTGTTATGATAATTATCAATATTTTATTCATTTCTACATTTTATCTTGAAGTAGACTGACACTTCAAAAAGAACTTCATTGCTTGAATTTTTTGACGAATATGTGCATATCATTTGATATCAAAATACATCTGTATCAAAAGTGAAAGTTGTCCATTTTAGCCTCTTTAGATTCGCTTGGATAGTCAAGATCAGCAGTAAACTTCCTAATTGTTATCATGGTAAGTACTAAATTGTTATTTTGCCGACCAACTATCCTAAAACTTTTAAGTCATTGGAAAGAGCACAATTTTTATCAGTCTTAACATACCTACACACACACAAGTGAAATAAGAAGTTTAAACAAGGTCTCTGATGTAAACTAACCACATATTCATGAAGTCACTATGAAAGCTCAATTGTGGGTAACAGATGGGTGAATAACAAAACAAGTGGATGAAATTCTTGTTGTTTGAACCCAACCTCACCTCTGATTGCGTTTTAAATGATTCGAAAAGTTTAAATTGATAAGAAAAAGCTCAATTCTATAATTTATATATTTAAAAATAATGAACTGCCCTTGTTTAAGATATGCTGTTTTCTTCAAAATGGGATCCCTCTACTTGCCATTATTTGTGATGAGGTGTGACTATTGCAACTTGTCTTTACAGACAAATAATCTTTAGGTGTAATATATGGAAGAGAAGTTTGGGATCTTTAAAGTAGATTGAACATAGTAAGCAACAGGTGGCAACCATCTATGTGCATCATATTCAGTTATAATTTTGATGCAAACTAATTCAGAAAAAAAAATCTATGAAGCGAAATTATTGCTGAATGAAACTTCAATGTGCATAAGAAAAAAAATTCCAAATTTGCCAATCACTTTCTTCTATTTGTTAGCTTAGTCTTTATTCCTATGTTTGGTTTCTTGCAGAGAAGCATGGAACTTGTTCTTCTCCAGTAGTTCGAGATGAGTACAGTTATTTCATTACAACTCTCAATGTCTACTTCAAATATAATGTTACTGTAAGTCTTCAACAAGCTGATTTTGCTCATAAAGCTTTCATCTCTTTCTTGGTCTCTATTCATGCTCAAGCAAAAGCTTTAGGTGTGAATTGCCATATTGTTTATGACTTGTGCTTTTCAATCTAGTTCATTATAAATATAGGGCAAGTTATAGTTCAACCATTGTGGTTTAATCAACATCAAAATAAATTCTTGTGATAATGTCAAATTGAAGTCCTGTAGTTTGTTTCTAATAGTTTAGGACCTTGATATTTTGCTTCTAGACAAAAGTGGTAAATATGTTATTTTAATAATTAACATGAATATCATGTAAGCTTTAACAATATTTTTTGTTGAAAGAATATGGTATTGGTAAAAAAATGACATTTGACTGTAACTTATAGGGTTTTGATATGTTATACAGATAATTTATGTTGGATACTTGATCATTTGTGAGAACATTGAAAAAAGAGAGATTTTTTTTTTCCTTTACAAAAGGTGAATCTTAAATGCATGCAAGATTCATGCAATAATGTTAACAAAATAATTCCTATTCACTTATTATGAAACCTCAAGGTACTAACTGTCTCAAAGCAAACCACAGAGTTTTATTTTAAAATGCGGAATTACAAGATATGAAATTTTAAATTGTCCTAACATAAAAGCTCTCAAGATCATATTAGTTAAATTCCATGAAAACTTCCAAGGTCATATTAGTTATATAGAATGTTTTGATTTGGTTACATAATTAGCAATCTGAGACTACTGCAAATCATTCATAAATAATATTAAAAATTATAAGATAATAATCAGTAATTGCCTAAGCTATTAAGTTGTTTTGGTCCAGGAGATATTATAAGACTGAAATTTGAGTATGTGATTCAGCCATCCAATCCATTAAAAGAAGCCATGAAATTAAATAGAATCTATATGTCGACATAGGAGTTTAGTGCGCAAAACCAGGCGTCACTAGTTAAGCTTTCCTTTAATTTCTTTGGTGGTCCTAACTTCATTTGGTCTTGTTTGAACCAAAAAGACAAAGTTTAAGTAACATAATCATGTTATTAAGTCAGTTTTGTAAGGTGCACATGACAATATTGGGAAACAAAGAATTATAATCTTCAAGATTTATAAGAAGGTTAGGCTCTTATCTCAAAGAAAGGAGAAACATCTCTTATCTTCCCGCTCTTCTATTAAGTTCTAACCCTTTGGTTTTCTATCTATCTCATTTTGTATGTAAGTTGCTCTTATCTTCTTGTTTGTTTAGGCACACCGTTATTTAATTTCACATTTTGACTTTAAATATTAATGGGTAATATTGGAATTTATTTGTGCAATTGTCTAACTATTATGTATCTTTGTGCAAATTTTGGATGCTAGAATGTACTGTATGAAGCTGGATATGTTCCATCTAATACTGAAAAATATCCACTTGGCGGTATCATCTCTGCCATTGAAAATGCTTTTCACACGACCCCGTTACTAGTTTGCTCAAAAGGTGCAGTTCAGGAACTTCGTTTGTGCTTCTATAAGGATTTTAAGGTTAGATTCTGGCACTTAGTCTGTTTTGAATTCATAATTTCTTTTTGTTATTTGTGGATACAGACACAAATTTCATTTGTAGGCATACATGTGCTACTCCAGAATTTATGACATTTATACCCATTGCTGTCTCCTCAAGTGTCAAACACCTCCAGTTTTTTATAGGAACAAAAACAAGTCCTACTCCCGCGCTTATACGTTGTTCTGTTGCTTAGATTCTTCATTCTATTTTTAGGTACTGTTATCTAAGCAGAGTATGGTATCGGAAAATACGGCCATTGGATGTCAAATTAACTAGTTGGAATTAAGGTAAGTAAAAAACATATGATCTAAACTCAGA